GTATGCTATAATTCAACAATATGAAAATAAAAACAAACACGTCACAAGGAAGCTGTTATGACACAATAAGGAAGGTATAATATGAGAAGTGAAAGTACATGTAATACATATCGAGGACCAATATTGCTGATCATAGCTTCGATATCCAACATCCGTTCCTCACTTTATCAATAACAGCATTCCTCCGTCTGAGATATGTTGCGAGACTCAAAGCAAGAATTCTCTCTCTAGCTTCACCTATAACATCTTCTACTTAGTTACATAGTATAACAAAAGAGGATGAACGTAAGATAATAGTGTGTTATTAATGTTCGTAGCTATAGTCCGTCCGTATAGTCACAGTTCATACAAATTTCAATATTTAGTTTTTCAATCAAGTTTTCATAATTATTATTTATTGTTTAGACATAAATAATAATTATAAAAAAAAACTTAAAAAGTAATATGCTAAATGTGTTAAGACTCACATAATTACATACGATTAGACATTTATTCAAATATATAGCATTTTATTGATTGATTTAAAATTTGTAAATCACTACTTAATTACAATACATACTTGATCAATAATAATTAAAATAGTACATTGTCATTCTACCCAACTTAGACTCAGGATAAGAGACAAAATTATGGCTGTATTTAATGCATAAGAGGAACTTACTGCATTTAGTATTTCATTGGTAGCCGGCACTTAATAAGTTACCGAAAGGTGTAGATGAAAACATAATAAAACAAACTGAATGGTTTATTTGCATTTGAATAGTAATTGTATAATTAATATGAGCAAAAAGGTGTAAACTAATCTAATGTGGGTACAGCCATTTCTAAAAGTATGTTTTTTGTTTTTAGCGAATTTCCCATGTAGGGAATAATTACCGTAGTACTCATGGTAAGACCTGGACCCGGGACCGATTTTTTTTTTGTTTTGAGGTCCCTAGAGGCCAAAAACACCATCCGTTCAAATTCATATATATATATATATATTTATATATATATTTATATATATATTTATATATATATTTATATATATATATATATATGTGTCCGTTAGCGCGATAACTCGAGCAAAAATGATCCGATTTTAATGAAATTTGGTACAAACCTGTGAACCTACGTTTATTCGAACGAGTTCGCGAACCAGCATGATTGGACCATGGGAACGGGGGTTTATGGGGGCTTTTATGGGGTAAAAATGGGTTTTTCCCATTTTTGACCCAAAAAACATAAAATTTTGCAATTTCTTTCCAAACAATTTTGTAGAGCTTAAAAAAACAAATAATTTAGTATATTGAAGCGTTATAATGCGCCTAATGGTTACGGAGAAAATTCCAAAAAATTGTAAATTTAAAATTCTCATGTTATTTTTATGGAGAGTAAGTAAACTGTTGTAGTTTGCTTGTTTATTAACATGTTTTGCCCAAATTTGGAAAATGTTTTTATTTCTTACTAACTATTAACATTTTACATAAAAAAACACTTTCACCCTCCCTGTTGCAGCAAACCTAACTATGTGTTAAACTGATTCTATTTAAATAGGGAATAAATGTGATATTTTTAAGGAGATATTTTAGTGTAAATCCAATCAGGCAAATGGAAATTCGCTTAGTCTGCAGGTTTGCTGCGGCGGGTATGTTTTTTTGTATGTTTTTGTATTCAAACCAATTCATCGGTATTTGTGGATTCTAGAGGCTTTAAATATAGTGAAGTGGACATAGGCTTACTACAAAGACTACGATCACCGTTTTAAATTTTTTTAAACCCAGTGGATAAAAAGCAGACAAAACACGATCAGCAAGGACAAATAAGAATAATCAGTGTTGATGTTTGGAAAAAGTTGGTGTTTTGAGACCAAAGCTGTAGTTTCATATGAATTATACACAGATCGGATGCAGCAGCAGTTGGTACAACACTGTTGAAGCCGTAACAGTTGAATGCAGGACCCTGCTCTGACATGTCTGTGGTTTGACCTGCTTTGTAGCAGGTTATATGTGTTAGCTCTAACTAGAGCGGAACGAGAACTTTATGTTCCATTGGTTTGTTATGAACATCTTTAAACAATATTTGGTTGGTACAAATAATGGAGTTTTTATACGGTATGTTTTATTGTATAGCAAAATATTTGATTGAATGGTCTCAAATACAATAGAATATATTTCTATATTAGTATTGAATTGTATTTTCATGATGCAATAGGTATACAATTATATAATAAAAATAGATATAGTAAAATGGAGATGTCCGTTGGAAATAAATAAATAAATAAATAAATAAATAAATAAATAATCATGCTGAATTATATTATTCAGTCGTTGTTGTCGACGTGTGGTGTTCGCGGTATTGAGTATGTATAATGATGATTGTTTCCACAAATAATTTTATAATTGTTATTCTTAACTTAGTAAACATTGTCAAGGCATTTTTAGTAACGGAAATATCATATTTTTAAAATTTTTCTATTAAAGAATTGTGGTGAACCAAGTAATACTTTCTGTAAAATGTAATTTTATAGTTTAGAATACTGTTCTGTAGGCCCAAGTTTAAGTCCCAGTTACCAAAGGGATAGCTATGTGATATGTCATGCGTCGTGATTTTGACTACACTGTAAGTAGTGGGTTCCACTATCTGGAAAACAAAAAGTAACCAGGAGTACGTTTTTCTTGGATTGGAAAAAACCCTTATACAACAATTCCGTACTTTTTATTCGGAAAAATAGCCCTTTTGTAAGGAATATTTTTTCAAACGGTTAGTCTACTGTTGCAAAATAGTTTTAATTTATATTTAAAATTATGTACAGTAGTATTATATCATCAAGAGCTCAGTATATAAGGTGTTAACAAAGCTCATAATGTCCAAGTTAAAGATTTTAGTACTCACTGAGTGATTGTTTTAGATTAATTAATGATCACGGTATCACTCAAGGACGTGACATAAAGCAATTGAGTAAGCAAATTATGAATAGTAGACTAGATCTGGAAAGACAGACTCGGAGTACAAACAGGCACAATATCACAACGGTGTAATGTACATTAGTGGTAAAGTGATATTGGTAACGGATATTGTCGCACAAATATGAAACGTTGAGTCGCAGCTTTACATCGCATTACAGCTTCACGTTTCACATTCCTCCTCTGTGATGCGAAACCATATTTGTCACAATATCAATGAAAAGAACATTTCATTTGTGTCTATTTGATTTGGAAGTTTTTTAAGCTATAATATACATAATTTAAATTTACATTTCCTAAGACGAGTATTGGCTGTAATAACTCATATATTATTTGTATTCTTAAGTGTTTGAACGAAGTAATATGATACTAAATAAATATTTTCGTATGCTACGTTACAATTAATGTGCATGCCATATTTGGCTTTGATACGTGCCCATTTTATATCGATCTAAAACCAATCATATCGATTTAAAAATGTATGTTTGTACCAAGCTCGAGGGGCGTTTATAATTGTAAAAATGTTATTTTAATGCTACCCTGGAATACGCAATTCTAAGGGTAACTTAAGCTTTACATATTTGAAGAGAACACAAGTAACTCGGTAGCAGAATGGTGAAGTATGGATATAGCTGGAGCAGATGTGGCAGTTATATGTCACGTACTGAGCTGTGGTTATAGTCGGACTGACAAACAACCACGACTATTTATTTTTTGAAGCACAACTTAACATGAATGTTTCGTATTGGAGCTACGATCAGCTTGTAACTCCATGGTGCAGTATGGATACAGCTGTAGCAGATGTGGCAGTTATATGTCACGTACTGAGCTGTGGTTATAGTCGGTCTGACAAACAACCATGAGAGTTTATTGTTTGAAGCACAACTTAACATGCATGTATCGTATTGGTGCTACAGTCTACATTTAACTCCATTGTGAGTGCATCATAGAGAAGAAGTACATGTCATTTCAATGAGCCGTGGTTATTATTGTGGTTTAGTATCTGATAAAACCCATGACAGCGTTTTGTTTAGACAGATATGCAACATAAATATACGCGTACTAGAACATGCCGTGGTTTTGTTTTGGAACTCTACTAATCGATATGTATCTGATGTTTAGTTATATGACAGAATATCTATTTGTAGGTCAAAACAATAGGTACAAAATCTGTTTCATGTTTGATTTTATGATAAACAATAACGCTGTACATCACCAAGATACTAAATCCGTTAAGTTGTAATAATGATTTTTTAGACGAGTCTGAAGAAATACGTTTACTGTAAGAACGAGACGTGTTTCACGATTGACTCTGACGCGTTATACATTTTAAGTGTTTTGTAGTTGAAGCACGTACACACAGTGTTCAGGTCAACTCTGTCTGCTCGACATCTCCTTTTTTGTGCACTTTTCATTTCGAAAATGTACACTTCTCTATGTTAATGCTAAAATGTTTCAACACATTTAATTTTAGATCAAGTGTGGTGTTGCTTTTTTATGCGTGAAAAATTTAAAAACATGGATAATTTAAAAATTATCTGGGTAACATTTGTACTTAATTTATCTTAGCCTTTTATTGCTGTAGGCCTATCCTTATTATGGTTGAGATGCCCACTTTCGTTATCACTCATAACTTTGTATTTCAAAACGTTCTGGGGTGACTACCGATAGTGGCATGCATTGTTACATCTGTCAGTTGCAGAGGTTCACCACGACCATCCACAGCATTGCATTGTAAGTTGTCAGAGTTCACTGATGATATAATTATTCTAATTCCTTGTTACAGATGCTCTATTGACGTCAGTTGCACTTTTGCCAGTTATCCTGGGGTTCACTAAGGCCACGGCACCCACATCCTCGCCCTGTAAGCTATCAGAGATCCACTGATGATATAATTAGTTATTCTAATTCCTTGTTACAGATGCTCTATTGCGTCAGTTGCACTGTTGCCTGTTATCCTGGGGTTCACTACGGCCCCGGCACCCACATCCTCGCCCTGTAAGCTATCAGAGATCCACTGATGATATAATTAATTATTCTAATTCCTTGTTACAGATGCTCTATTGACGTCAGTTGCTCTGTTGCCTGTTATCCTGGGGTTCACCACGACCCCGTCACCCACACCCTCACCCTGTAAGCTATCAGAGATCCACTGATGATATAATTAATTATTCTAATTCCTTGTTACAGATGCTCTATTGACGTCAGTTGCTCTGTTGCCTGTTATCCTGGGGTTCACCACGACCCCGGTACCCACACCCTCGCCCTGTAAGCTATCAGAGATCCACTGATGATATAATTAATTATTCTAATTCCTTGTTACAGATGCTCTATTGACGTCAGTTGCTCTGTTGCCTGTTATCCTGGGGTTCACCACGACCCCGGTACCCACACCCTCGCCCTGTAAGCTATCAGAGATCCACTGATGATATAATTAATTATTCTAATTCCTTGTTACAGATGCTCTATTGACGTCAGTTGCTCTGTTGCCTGTTATCCTGGGGTTCACCACGACCCCGGTACCCACACCCTCGCCCTGTAAGCTATCAGAGATCCACTGATGATATAATTAATTATTCTAATTCCTTGTTACAGATGCTCTATTGACGTCAGTTGCTCTGTTGCCTGTTATCCTGGGGTTCACCACGACCCCGTCACCCACACCCTCGCCCTGTAAGCTATCAGAGTTCCACTGTAACAACAACAAATGTGTTCCCGCGACTGCCTATTGCAACGCCGTAAACGACTGCGGGGACTCGTCGGACGAACCACGTCTCTGTAGCCGTAAGTACCAACCGAATTAGTAGCACGGTGTATGTAGTTAGTTTAGGATAAAACATATACCCTGAACAGTGATATCTCAAACATTACAACTTTACCACATGTACTTGTAATGTTAAAATACATTACACTTTAAGAACAATTTCATTCTTACAATTTAAAATCAGAATCGTGGTCTTCTAGCGACGACCGTGTCAAAAATGACGAAACACTAACACTCACCTCCTGGAAGCCTATCCAGGAAGTTAAAATCAGTTAACAGTACAGTCGTTGATATAAAACTGATGATTCGCAATCGTTTGTTAACCTTTTTAACATTGTTTAAGATATTAACAAATAACGTGTTTTTCATAGATAATATTAATCTCATAGACCTTGAAGCTGAAAGATACTGATCACTTAGGGGAAAAGTCGAAATATTTAAAATTGTAATGGTAAGTATGAAAAATTGCACATTGTACATTTTAACGCATGAAGTTTTCAGTAAGCTTTTTTCAGGGAGTGCATGATGTTTCTCTTACTTTGTAAGACGTCTTTTAAAATATTTCTGCTTGTATTTTTTAGATTTTCCCCTAAAAAAATAAAATGTACATATTTATAGTTTGAGCACAGATGCATGTTTTGTAGGAGTTGTGCATGGTTTTCAGATGGTGTACCGAGGTCTGAGGGCGCATGTTTTGTTGCAGCGTGTAATCGAACCTACTACGGGGACCTTGGCACGACTTACGAGCTGGAACTGCACAGACCCAGGGAGGACAGACTTCCCTTCGTGTGTCACCTCACATTGACCGCGGGCTCAGGATCTCTGGGGGACATCGTGCAGGTATAAGTCTAATCATGTGGGTGTTATCTAGGGTAGTTTAAAACATTTTGTAATGTACATAGAAGAAATCATTGGCGTAGTTTATTTTACACAATAATCTAACTTAGCCTTCTCTGAAAAATTTTGGGGTAATAACAAAAATTAAACTATGATGGTAAGTACAAATGACAATACAGTCACTATAACAGCAGGCATAATATAATTTTGGATAAGAAGACACGTTTTTTAATAGTGCCTTGAAAGTTGAGGGGGGTCATTAAAGATTCTAATTTTAAGATGGGTAGTTGCCCTTTAGGAAGTTGATATGCCAAAGAAGTGGGGGAGTATTCCCTGACTCGCGTACTGCTACTTAGAACATTTAGGATATTGTCATTCCCAAACAATAGCGAGTAACGGTTACGACATCACTCTCTTTCGGATATCTTTAAAACCCCTTATTCAGTCGAACCACCTGCATAAAAGGCCCAACAGTGATTGGCTATAAATAGTTGAATTTACATTAGTATGCCCAGGTTTTTGGGGACTTATTCTATGGATTGTGTAATAATTTAGATTAAAGATAAGGCGAGTTATTTGGGGATGTTTAAGGACACAAGCTATGAACACGAAAACTCTTTTTCCTATAGTCAAACGACAAAGTTGGCTTCCTTGTACTGTTTATACAGTAGTACAGAAAGCTGCTAATTGCTGCATATTTATACTTTGCCGTACGGTTTATACTTTGCCGTACGGTTTATACTTTGCCGCACATCAGGATTCCAACGAAACAACACAAAACAGTGTGGTTCTATTATGCACGTAATCCGTGTACGCTTGGAAATAGGTTGGCAACACTTAAAGATAATAATACTATGAGCAGCTGATTGACTATTATAAATACGATTTAACCTGTCATTTCGTGTTTATAGTTTCGGTATTTCTGAACTTCCTGGACTTTTCTTTTAAACGTTTTTAAAACATTCCTACGATCTTAATAATCAAAAAAATACATTTAAAGCATTTTTTTAGGCGCGGAAACCACTTCAAATTACAAAAACATACGGAACTATATTCTCAAAACGCGGAGCACATTTCTTGCCGAGGAAAAATAGCGGAGTGATACGGACCGCGGGTACTACTTTCTCTAAGGGCACCATTTGTGTTGCCAGCTGAATCTAAAAACGTGTTGTATAGTGTTTGAAAGATTAATTATTTATATGAGTTATAGTGACTGTAGGAAAAATATAATGTGTAACACGAGTGAAAAAGGCCTTTGCTACACTCGAGATCATTCCGCACATTGCTCTCGTGTGCAGCAAAGTGCCACTTTCACCACTAGTTACACAAATAACTATTGTAGGTTAATCGAGAACAAATTACGAATATAAATCCAAAATTCTTGCTAAATCAAAGTATGTCATATGAAAAAGAGAACCCATACCCAAGCACACATAATTAAAATAGGTAGGATATTATTCTAATAATTTGCAAATAAAATTCCAAATCACTAATGCAAATTTTAGACAAGATTCTATTTGACTGGTGACAACAGTTCATGACCTTTATTGGTTGTTGGAGCTCTACAACAAGGTTTCATAGAACTGTTCATCCTCCTAGGTGACGTTCGAGAGTTTCACTCTTGGGAGGTTCACGTCGTTCCTGTCCGGAGGTTGTCCAGACGGCGAGATGCAGCTGTGGGAGTGGCAGAGGCCTAGGATCGGCGGCGCGTGGTGTGGAACCTCCTGGGGTCCCTCAGTGTACTTCAGCGAGACTCGCTCCGTTACTATCTCTGTCACTCTACGCCGCATCTCCAAGGATCAGGACGGATACAACTTCGACTTCAGGCTAGGGTACAAGATGCTACCGAAGTACAACGCCATCGTAAGATATGGAGGACTTAGGTTTTTAGGTTGGTTATTTTTTTAATACATAAATTTGCTGGAGTGTTGTTGGTGTTTGTTGAATCGTTACTTTCTTAATTGTGTCTGGTGTGTTAAATATGTACTGGCTTAAACTTGTATAGTGTCTGAGACTTAAATGAGTACGGGAGTAGATAGTGGTTGCTTGACAACAACAGGGTTGTCTGTTCAACCATGAGAAAGATCGGTAGCTTTTTAGTACTTAAACGGGTCCTAACCTATCTCTTGATTATTGGAATGGTTCTGACTAAAGAAATGTCAGGTTTTACTCAATAGCAATGCTTGACCAACATATGACCAACATATAGGGTATGATGCAAACTTAACTACTGACTAGCTTAGATTTGTTCAACATCATTTTACAACTAAAAATCATAATATTTCTGATATTTTTTATTCCTTATTTTTTCCTTGGTGTCGTTTCATAGAAAATTCTAAATGCTAAATAAAAGTGTTCTAGACATTTTTTAAATACCATTAGTCAATTTTGTTTTTTTTGCAAATTCAATTTAAAAACTAAAATGGCTGCCATTTTGAAATTTGGAATCGGAGTAAGATAGTTTTTAACATCGTGGGTCTGTTTTAACTAAACATACCAAGTTTCGTAATGATCGGTTGAAAAATTATAAGTTGAATTGTAAAAAAACTAAATGGTGGATATACTAATTGAACTGGTTATCAAAGCGATTTTGGAAAAAATGTCATTCTTGATTTTCTCTTTGTATTGACCCATAGAACCATTTCTCCGAGTTTGTGTGTTTACTTACGGGACACTCCGTATATTTGAATTTTCAGAAAAGTAAACATCATGTGATTTATTCCTAAAAGTCTGCAGTATTTTTTCATTTACTTTATTTGATCAAGGCAGTCTAAACCTAGATTTTATTATAATATACTAAGTGGTTTGCTGTTCTTTAGATCTGCTGTATGAAACAGTTACATATCTATATTATCTAACTTTGTAGACCTTTTGTTAGATTTTTCTATTCAACACAACATCAATTAAAGAATGAATGGTATGCTGTGAAAACAAAAAAGATAGTGTGTGACATAAAAATATAGACTTTGTATGTAAGTACACGAGTGGTATTAAACATATCAAGGGTTGACGTGTATAAATGGAGCATCACCACCGAAGCCCTCGCTAATTCCTTAATTGAAACTCAAACAAGGCGTCGACAAAGGGCCTATTTATATTTCATTTGTACCAACCATTACCCGGCCTCCACTGGCTTAACCTCGGGTAAACCCACCCTTATCCTTCCGTTGAAATGTTTGTCCGCTTTAAGTGATTATCAATTAGTCCCTTTATATAGGTTATATCTATAGATATCTATAGATCTATAGATTACCAATACTGAGTGAATCAGTTTTTACAAGTAAGATTCCAATATATAATATAAAATAGAAACTGCACCAATATTTTATAAATTCGTATTTTTATGAGCCCTTTCGCTATGCTGTCATCATCAGACACATCACAAAACTCTATAAGGTTATGTTAACAATAACATTTTTTTTAATATCAAATTTATGGATAGTTTATATAAATATGAATAAAAAGTTAACATTACTAAATTCAAAATTTACAAAGTTATAAGTTAACCTAAATTATGATTTTATTTTTTATACGTG